TTTTAATTATCCTTCTTTATACACACTGTGATAATGGCAATTGTTAAGAATTTCAAATGTGTTGATCTAATTTAACCAGAGCATACAGTACAGCTGGGAGTATCCTAGAGTTCTTTCAGAAGAGTTTTGCTTTAAGTCTCTTGGTAGTTTATTGGTAGGTTTTCAAATAGTGGGATCATTTCATCACTGTACCCTCAGCTGACTTGTTATCATTCACAACAGCTGACAGCATCTACTTTCACCAGTTTTCTCCAACACTGCAAGTTCTTTGGAATTGTTTTGCACTTGTGATTGTTTTCTTATACTTGTTTCATACATTGTATGCTAGGTAGTTCATACAGACTATCTTTAATTCTCACAAAATAAATACTCTTATTTTTCATATGCTGATTATCAGACTCTGAGAGAGCCAGTGACTTGCCAAAACTCAGAGAGGTAGGATGGAGTAGATAGAGCCATATTTCAAGTCTCTGACTCTTCAATCTCCTAAATGCTTATTTTTTTCTACTATTTATTATTTCTGCTTATTGATAAAAATCTTAATTAATGAATATATTAAACACACAGGCTAACCAAATATGTTGTGTGTGCATTAAAAAATTAGAATATGCAAGATAATAAATCAGTAAGTCACCATGTTCCTAAATTTTTTCTTCAAGATTTATTTTATTTATTTGAAAGGCAGAGAGAGAGACACACACACACACAGAGAGAGAGCTCATCTGTCTGCTGGTTCAATCCCCAAATGGCTGTGTCAGCCAGGCTGAAGCCAGCAGCCAGGAGCTTCTTCTGGGTCTCCCATGTGGGTGCTGGGGCCCAAGGACTTGTGCCATCTTTTGCTGCTTTTCCCAGGCCATGTGCAGGAAGCTGAATTGGAAATGGAACAGCCAGGATTTAAACTAGCACCATATGGAATGCCAGTGTTGTAGGTGACAGCTTAACCTCTTAATGCCACAATGCTGGCCCCTTCCTAAATTTTTTTAAGACAGTATTTATGTGAATGGTGTATTTCTATCTTGTATTAAATCTCATTAACCTCAGTTAATGAGCCAGCTAGGCTCTGTCTGGATCCCATCTCCACACCCACCGGGCTCTGGCTGTGCAGCGCCAGCTAGGCTCTGTCTGGATCCCATCTCCACACCCACCGGGCTCTGGCTGTGCAGCGCCGGCTAGGCTCTGTCTGGATCCCATCTCCACACCCACCAGGCTCTGGCTGTGCAGCGCCGGCTAGGCTCTGTCTGGATCCCATCTCCACACCCACTGGGCTCTGGCTGTGCAGCGCCGGCTAGGCTCTGTCTGGATCCCATCTCCACACCCACTGGGCTCTGGCTGTGCAGCACCGGCTAGGCTCTGTCTGGATCCCATCTCCACACCAGGCTCTGGCTGTGCAGCGCCGGCTAGGCTCTGTCTGGGTCACATCTCCACACCCACCGGGCTCTGGCTGTGCAGCGCCGGCTAGGCTCTGTCTGGATCCCATCTCCACACCGGGCTCTGGCTGTGCAGCGCCGGCTAGGCTCTGTCTGGATCCCATCTCCACACCCACTGGGCTCTGGCTGTGCAGCACCGGCTAGGCTCTGTCTGGATCCCATCTCCACACCGGGCTCTGGCTGTGCAGCGCCGGTTGGGCTCTGTCTGGATCCCATCTCCACACCGGGCTCTGGCTGTGCAGCGCCGGTTGGGCTCTGTCTGGATCCCATCTCCACACCCACCGGGCTCTGGCTGTGCAGCGCCGGTTGGGCTCTGTCTGCATCTCAGCGCCACACCAGGCTCTGGATTTGTGCTCCATGTGAGCTCTGCCTGGACGTGAACTTCACACTGGACTCTGCTCTGCGCTTCATGCCAGGCTCTGTCTGCTTCTGCATTCCTGGGGAGTCACTTTGTACTCCTCACCCTGCAGGGCTGCCTGTTCTCTCTTTTCCTACCTCTAACCACACATCTTAGGTCATTGTTTCCTGTGTTTTTCAAGGTGACTGTGAGCTAATCTCACCAACTAAGCCAAGCTAATGGGCTCACCAATACTAGTACACACGTATTAATGTGGGATGTTTCAGCCACTGCCATGATATCTTCCCAATGTCATACTGAACTGTGGCCAGCAATTCTTTTCTTTCCTGTAAGACAAGTTTAGGAATTTCATATAAGGTAGTTCTGAGGGCGCTGAATCAGATCACTGAAGTATTACTGTACCTGTGGAGACCTCCACTGCCACTCAGATCCTAGAGATGGTTCTAATTATTTTATCCAAGTCTTACTTTCCTCTTTTTCTGTCCTACCCATTATCTTATTTTTATAAGATAATTTCATAGATACTTTATTTTTTAAATAAATCTTTATCATAATATGGTTTACTTCTAGTAAGATCTATTTGCCACAAGGGTTTTCAGAACATATAAAATAGGGATTTTTTAAAAAAGATTTATTTATTTGAAGGACAGAGTTACAGAGAGAGGTTGAGACAGACAAAGAGGTAGAGACAGATGGCTGCAGTGGCTGGAGCTGCGCCAATCCGATGCTAGGAGCCAGGAGCCTCCTCCAGGTCTCCCACACGGGTGTAAGGGCTCAAGGACCTGGGCCATCCTCCACTGCTCTCCCAGGCCACAGCAGAGAGCTGGATAGGAAGAGGAGCAGCCAAGACTAGAACCAGTGCCCATATGGGATGCTGGCACTTCAGGCCAGGGCTTTAACCCGCTGCGCCATAGCGCTGGCCCCAAAGGACTTTTTTTTGGAATCAGAAATACAGGACTAATAAAACATGCATGGAGTTGCTCAAAAACAATACAAAGACTTTCTGAAGATATGTGTCTAAGTGAGAAGTGGGAGGAATGATTTAATTTGAATATAACATACTTGGTTTCAGTGAATTGACTGTTCATGATTTTTTTTTTTTTTTGACAGGCAGAGTTAAACAGAGAGAGAGAGAGAGAGAGAGAGAGCTTCCTTTTTCCGTTGGTTCACCCCCAAGTGGCCGCTATGGTTGGCGTGTTGTGGCCAGTGCGCTGCACTGATCCGAAGCCAGGAGCCAGGTGCTTTCTCCTGGTCTCCCATGTGGGTGCAGGGGCCCAAGCACTTGGGCCATCCTCCACTGCCTTGCTTGGCCATAGCAGAGAGCTGGACTGGAAGAGGAGCAACCGGGACAGAATCCAGTGCCCCGACCGGGACTAGAACCCAGGGTGCCGGCACCGCACGCGGAGGATTAGCCTAGTGAGCTGTGGCACCTGCCCAACTGTTCATGATTTTGCAAACCAGAAATGATTTTTCCATTAGATTTTGCATTTATGTATTGGACCTTCTGTGTCTTTTTGAATTTCAGTTTCCTGGTGGGGTAGGACTTGCAGAGACAATAACAACATTCAGGTTTTTTTTTTTTTTTTTTTTTTTTTTTTGCCAACGTCTGTTATTCTAGTTGTTAATTTTGGGATAGGTCAACTTTTTACATTTTTGTGGTGTCGTAAAGTGAGTTTTCTTTAAAAATAAATCCCCGGAAGGATACATAGAATACAGAATACACAATCTTCAGGATGGTTGTATCAAGTAAGAAATTGCCAAGTAAATGGTCTGCACTCAGCATGTATTAGTTTATTTTTCTTTACATCCAAAACACACACCGTGATGCTATTGAAAACATTCCTTTATGTATTACCTACTCTCCTACTCTCCTCCATGTGTGTAGGTAAAGTTCACAGCAACTTTGATAGGAGACACTGCCAAGCAGATGAGTTTCCTTAGCATCAACCTACACAAATCATTTTTCTTTTTTAATAAAAGAGACTGGCAGATGGAAGATGAAGAGAACCTTTTGAAAAATTTGTGTGTCAGAAATCCATAGTAAATTGCACTTTCTTCTCTATCATCCTGAGGCATCAGTAAGAAATATTTGTTCTGGGAAACATGAGTTTTTAAAATTGTAATTCTTAACTCCTAATGAAGAGACATCAACCTATTCAGGTTGTGTGCAGTTACAGATACTCTCTTAGTTCTTCTGGAGAAAACAGAAGTAAAAGATCTTGCATGAGACTTAGGACAGCTATCTTTTTCGAGTATCTTTATTTATAAATATACTTATTCCAGTATGTATTGTTCGAATTCCATTACAGATATTACCATTAATCGTCCATATATATGATTCTATAGTACTTGATACTATATTATATTCAATTTGTAAACATAGTTTTTTGACAAAATTTTCCCATGATAAATTAGATGATATTTAAAGTTTTTTCTGGCTCTAAGATTATGTGACTGTAAGTAGCATATATAATGGACCGAAAAAGTATTTAAAATGAATGTTATAATTAAAAGCTGTTTTTGCAGTTAATAAAAACAGTGCATTGCAAAACAATGGGGAAACCTGTTACACTCATTTTCATGATATAAGCTGTAAAGTTTATTAGTGATAACAACCACTTCTATTGGGGAAAAATAGAAGAAAAATAAAACCAATTTGAGAAAAAAGTACCCAAACTTCACTAATAATAAACTCTCAATACTTTTTTCTTTTAAAAACATTACTTCTAACTCATTAAGTTTTAAACTAGCCTTTCAAAACAGATATTATCCTCACTCTAAAGATGATAATGACAATACCAACAACAGTATAAGTAGAAGGCCCCAGAGATCTGAGAATGTATTAGCCTGAATGCAATCTTCCCTTTCAGAACATGGAGCCAAAGCCTCACACAGGAAATATAAAGAACCTAATTCTTCCCTTCAGTTCTCCTTTCAGTAAAAGGGAGCCCTGAAGAATTAAATGTTTAAAAATTAGTTTCCCACTCACGTGTAATCTTATTTTAACTAGAATATCACTCAAAATTGTGTGCTCGCTCTGAATGACTAGTACATATCATTTTATGAGGGAAAAATACATAGTATTTGAAGAGCAGGAAGTCTATATACAACATTGAAATATTTTAAAAGTAGATAATAATACCATATAAAATCACCATTCTTATAAAGTAAAATTTAACGAATTATATTATCAAGAAAACTACTTGCAGACTCACAGTTTGTATCTCTGTGCCTGGTGTCCTTGCTTATGTTCAGTTGGTGAGAATCTCTGTCTACTAAACTCCTTTTGAACTTGGAAAGGTTTAAGCTCAGACTTAGGATCCCTGGGTATTGATGACCCTTGCAGAAATAGCTCTGAAAACATAATAGGATTGACATAAGAGAATTAACAAAGCCTATTCATTAATACTAGGGCAAAAACAAACTAGCAAACTAGCATACAAAGAACTTTAGATCCTGTGGTTATTATAATCTTTGTCCACCTATTTTTGTTATTTCAGGAAAAAAATTTCTCTTTCTAGCATGGACTTCAGTTATTCTTAGAAATTTATTTGCTGTTATCTAAAAGAAAAAGTTAAAATTTTTCTGACCATAAAATCTTTCTTGTTCAATATTAAGTGTCCTCCTCAGCATGATGTGTCCTGGTCTATTTTGCCCTTTTAGATTCACCAGCTGGCTACTTCTTCCCCTTTATGAATGAAATGTTTAGTAATGTTAATGATCTCTGCTCTGTGGTCTTTTTTTTTAATTGAGTGATTCTTCTGTTTTTCCACCCAGAAACCTTTTTTTTAGGAATACAAACTTCATACATTTCATAATTACAATTTTAGGAACATGTGATTTTTCACACTGTACTTACCCTCCCACCCACTCTTCTACTCCACTTCCTCCTCCTTCTCCTATACCCACTCTTTTTTTTTTTAAACTAAGATCTATTTTCAGTTAACTTTATACACATATGATTAACTCTGTTAATAAGAGTTCAATAAACATAAAAATACACTTTGCTGTGTTCTGTCTTGTTTTATTCACTTTTCTTCCTTGTGCCATTCTAAACAATGAGCTTCCATTCAGTAGCATTTTACCAACTGCCTTGCCTTTCTTTGCTGGGGAGTGCTTACCAAAAATGCAGCTGTGGTCTTCAGAAATATTTTACATATTTTTAGAGTATTCAATGATGTGTAAACCCTGAAATCACTGTTCTTTATCCTAAGGTAAAGTTTAGCAGAAATTAGTCTTTTGGGGTAGCCTTTGGCATAGGGGTCACCATACCACATGGAACACCCACATCCTTTCTTGGAGTGCGTGGGTTCTGTTCTTGATTCCAGCTTGCTGCAATGTGCACCGTGGGAGGCAGCAGGTGGTAACTCAGTCGTCGGGTCCCTGCCACCACATCTGAGACCCAGGTTGTTTCTCTGACTTCAGCCTCACCTCGCCCCAACTGTAACCTGCCTGCTTGTCTTTCGGTCTGTCTGCCTTTCAAGTAAATAATAACTTTTAAAAGATATTGTTAATACAAGAGAAATTAGACCTTATCAATGAGGCCATTGGTTCAAGGCTGCCCAATAGGTTGTATATTTTATGATCTAAGAGTGGTTTATAGTTCACGGGAAAGGTTGAATGGGTGATAGAAAGCAATTACATAAAGATTATTACAGGGCCTGCACTGTGGCATAGCGGGCAAAGCCGCTGCCTGCAGTTCTGGAATCCCATATGGGCGCCGGTTGGAGTCCTGGCTGCTGTACTTCCGATCCAGCTCTCTGCTATGGCCTGGGAAATCAGAAGATGACCCAAGCCTTTGGGCCCCTGCGCCCACATAGGAGACCTAGAAGCAGCTCCTGGCTCCTGGCTTCGGATCGGCCCAGCTATGGCTGTTGCTGCCATTTGGGGAGTGAACCAGTGGATGGAAGACCTCTCTCTCTGTCTCAGCCTCTACTTCTCTGTGGCTCTGCCTTTCAAATAAATATATTTAATATATATTTATTATATTATATAATAAATGCAATATTATATAATTACATATGTATATACATATACATATATGTATAATATGTGTATTTATACACACATATATTGTATATATTTTGTGTATATATAATTATATATGTACTATATAATATATATTAATATATGTAATTTTTAAAAAGATTATTACAATAAAATTAGTCACATAAACATATATTGAAACCTAATTTGTGTTAAGTGAGCAGTGGTTAGGCACTGGGGAAGCAAAGCAAAATATGCCCTATTCTTATGTTGGGGGTTCAGAGTCCAGTGGGGGAAAAAAACAAAAGATAATCACAATGAAAAAGCATGATTCCTTTAAGTGGGAATACATAAGAGATTCTTTGATGTAAATAGAGTTGGCTTTCATTTCTCTTATTATAGGATTTTAATAAAACTTTCAAGTTGGCTGTCATTTATGGTCTATTTTTTTTCTAGATTTTAGAATTTTCTTAGTGTTTTTTTTTCCATTTCTCCTTATTGTTTCTGGTTTTTTTTTGATCACTTAATATCCTTTTCCCAATATTTTTTGTAATAGAGAAAATAGATGGCTGTGTTGAATCTGCAATCTTTTCCTTATATCTTCAATCATCATGGGCAAAAGTCTCATCTAACTTCTCAAAATAGAAGTTTTAATTTTCTCTAAGCATAAAGCCAGAAGTTTTTAATCAGCAAGGAGAAAAAAGCTTTATTAATGGTAATTAAAATGAAAGCATCTATATTTGTAAAGTTTAATCAAATGTATCTTCATTCAGAAACTTTCAATGGGTCTTTGTGAATTTAAACAGTGATAATGTCTAAACACATTCTAATATTTATGTCCTGTTATTCAAAATTAATTTGAAATTTACTTTCTTTGCTAGCAGAGGTAAATATTTCACATTTCAGCAGTTTGTTGATTGTGTAGTTCATAGCTGCAACCTGTAGAGGTCACTACTTGCACTTTTATTAACAATCTCAGGAACAAGTTGAATTTCAACAAGGTTTCTCAGACCGACTGACATCCAGCTGTTATGAGAGTTGTTTTCCTTTCTTTCTTTTTTAAAAAGATTTATTTATTTATTTGGAAGGCAGAAAATCAACTTAGTATATACTAAGTAAAGATTTCAACAGTTTGCACCCACACAGACACACAAAGTATAAAGTACTGTTTGAAGACTATTTTTACTATTAATTCTCATAGTACAACACATTGAGGACAGAGATCCTACATGGGGAGTAAGTGCACAGTGACTCCTGTTGTTGATTTAACAACTGACACTCTTATTTATGACATAAGTAATCACCCGAGGCTCTTGTCATGAGCTGCCAAGGCTATGGAAGCCTTTTGAGTTCACAACTCTGACCTTATTTAGACAAGGCCATAATCGAATTGGAAGTTCTCTCCTCCCTTCAGAGAAAGGTACCTCCTTCTTTGATGGCCCGTTCTTTCCACTGGGATCTCACTCACAGAGATCTTTTATTTAGGTAATTTTTTGCCACAGTGCCTTGGCTTTCCATGCCCAAGAAATTCTTTTTAGCCAGATCCGAATGCCTTAAGGGCTGATTCTGAGGCCAGAGATCTGTTTAGGGCATTTGCCATTCTATGAGTGTCCAGCACATACTTTTATAATTTGCTGTTTACTGTGTGCTGTCTCTGGTGGGGTTTTGGAGACATTACGAATGGACATCACATACTTGTCTCCAGTTTGACAACATGTTTGAGTCAATTGCTTCAATAATGAATTGAGTGATTTCTGTAGATCATAAAAATATGTTCTAAAAAGAATCAAAGCTCAAAATGTCCTTTATTTCACACCTTTGGTTCCTGATGTGAAATTATTTAAAAGTCTTACAAGTAAATATTGAGACTTTACATCTAATATTAAGAATATTTGAATATGGCAATTTACAAAACAAATACATTATAGATGAACTGAAAACGTCTTATAGAACAGGTGTAGCAATATTAATAATTAGTGTTTTACCTCAATCATTGTGACTGTCCTCTGAGGGAGGTCAAGCATAATTTTATAAAGGAGGAGGCAGGCTTAGATAGATTTTGTAATTTGTGCAGTTTCATGCATTTATTCTCCAACATTTGTGGAAGGCCTACAATGGAACAAACACTTTTCTGTGGACAAGGAATTCAGCAGCAAGAAAGCAAAACTCTCATGGTCAATATGTTGACAGTATGTCTATGAAGAAGCCAGAGTTGAAATGCAAGCATGACTTAATTCCATTGCCGACACTATTAACCAGTGAACTCTCCTGCATGAGGCAGATTAAACACGCTTTACAAGGATAAAATCATCAGATTTTCTTTAAATTATAAACATTCTCCCACGTAGATTTTCTGGTTCCATATCTGTCATAAATATCTACCTCCTCTACTTTTTCAAGTCTGAGAAGTTTTGATGTAAGGAGAAGCGTGAGTTTTTTGGGCACTTGAGGACAACTATGCCCTCTGGTCCTGGGAAGAGCTTGGAGGAGAGAGATTTGAAATGGAGCAGCCAGGACTGAACCAGTGCCCATATGGGATGCCGGCACTGCAGGTGGTGGCTTTACCTGCTATGCCACAGTGCCGGCCCCATTTTTTTTTTTTTTTTAGATAGTATGTGAAATAAGAATATGTAGTAAATTATATAGTATGATTCATTGATATTTATAGCTATATACTAAATGACCTGACATCTATACAGTTTTTTTTAAAAGATTTTATTTATTTATTTATTTGAGAGTCAGAATTACAGACAGCGAGAAGAGACAGAGAGAAAGATCTTCCATCCACTGGTTCATTCCCCAAATGGCCGCAATGGCTGGCGCTGCACTGATCTGATGCCAGGAGCCAGCAAAGTACCTAATAGTTTTTGTTTTGGTACTCACTGTGGATTGAAATGCACTTTTTAAAAGATTTTATTTATTTATTTGAGAGGTAGAGTTAAAGACAATGAGGGATAGAGGAGATAGATAGGTCTATATATATATGTATATAGGTCTTCCATCTACTGGTTCACTCCCCAAATGGCCGCAATGGCCGGAGCTGCACCGATTGGAGCCAAGAGCTTCTTGTCTCCCATGTGGGTGCAGGGACCCAAGGACTTGGGCCATCTTCTACTGCTTTCCCAGGCCATAGCAGAGAGCTGGATTGGAAGAGGAGCAGCTGGGACTCGAACCAGCGCCCATATGGGATGCCAGCACCGCCGGTGGAGGATTAACCTACTGCACCACAGCACTGGCCCCTCTCCATACAGTTTTAATCTTCTATTTGTTAACTCCCACAAATAAGAAAAAAATGATATTTTTCTTTTTGGTCTGGCTTATTTCATTTATCATCATAATGTCCAGTTGCATCCATTTTGTTGCAGATAGAATTTCATTTTTTATGGCTGAGTATTATTCCATTGTGTATATATATACTACATTTTCTTTATCCAGGTATCACTTGATGGACATCTACATTTATTGCGTATCTTAGCTATTGTGAATTGAGCTGATAGGAACATGAGAGTGCATGTAATTCTTTTATATGCTGATTTCATTTCCTTTGAGTATATTACCAGGGGTGGGATAACTCTATCACTTTGTAGTTCTAATTTTAGTTCTCCATAGGTCTTCCATAATGGTTGTACCATTCCAGCCAACAGTGTATTATGTTACTTTTCCTCCACATCCTTGCAAACATTGTTATTTTGTGGTTTTGGAGGACAGATACTAACTGTGAAGATACATGTAGATGTACCTCATTGTGATATTGCATTTCCTGATGGTTAGTAATCCTAATAATTTTTTATGTGTCTGTTGGCCATTTGTATTTAATCCTTTGAAAAATGCCTGTCCATATCTTTTGCTCATTTCTTAACTGGATTATTTGTCTTGTTATTGTTGAGTTTCTTCAGCTCTTTGCATACTCTGCATATCAATTCTTTTTCTGGTGCATAGCTTGCAAATATTTTCTTGAATTCTGTTGGTCCTCTCTTTGTTACTTGTTTCCTTTGATGTGCATAAACTTCTTCATTTGATATAATTCCATTTCTCTGTTTTTGCTTTTATTACCTGTGTTTCTCGGGTCTTATCCAAGAAGTCTTTGTGTAGGCCAATGCGGCATTTCCCCCATGTTTTCCTCTAGTAATATGATACTTTCAAGTCTTAGGTTCAGATCCTTGATCCATTGTGAGTTGACTTTTGTGTAGGGTATTAGGTAGGGGTCTTGTTTCATACTTTTGCATCCAGAGATTCAATTTTCCCAACACCATTTGTTGAAAAGACTGTCCTTCTTTCAGGGATTGATTTTAGCTCCTGTGTCAAAGATTAGTTGATTATAGATGCATGGGTTTGTATCTGGGGTTTCTGTTCTGTTCCTTTGGTCTACATGTCTATTTCTGTGCCAGTATCTGGCTGCTTTGATTATAACTGCACTATAGTATGTCTTTTTTAATTAATAAATTTATTTGAAAGGCAGAGTTATAGAGATGGAGAGGGAGAGGGAGAGGAAGAGGGAGGGAGAGAAAGAGAAGGAGAAAGAGAAAGAGAAAGAGAAAGAGAGAGAGAGAGAGAGAGAGAGAATCTTCCATTCACTGTTTTACTCCCCAAATGGCCACAATGGTGGAAGCTGAGCCAGGCTGAAGCCAGGAACCAGGAGCTTCATCCTTGTCTCCCACATGGGTACAGGTGCTCAAGTACTTGGCCAGTGTTCTGCTGCTTTTCCAGGCACATTAGCAGGGAGCTGGATCAGAAGTGGATCAGGCAGGACTTGAACCGGCACCCATATTGGATGCCGGTGTTGCAGATGATAGCTTTACCCACTATGCTACAGTGTCAGCCACCTGTAGTACATCTTGCCATCTGGTATTGCAATGCCTTCATTTTGCTTTTATTTTTTAATATTGCTTTGGTTATTTCAGGTCTTTTGTATTTCCATATGAATTTTATGATTTTTTTCTAGTTATGTGATATTTTGATTGAAATCACATTGAATCCATAAATTGCTTTGGCTAGTATAGACATTCTTTAAAAGATTTTATTTATTTGTTTGAGAGGTGGAATTAGAGAGAGGGAGAGACAGAGAGAAAGGTCTTCTATCCATTGGTTCACTTCCCAAATGGCTACAATGGCTGGAGCTGAACTGATCTGAAGTCAGGAGTTTTTTCTGGGTCTCCCACTTTGGTGCAGGGGCCCAAGGACTTGGTCCATCCTCCACTGCTTTCCCAGGCCATTAGCAGGGAGCTGGATTGGAAGTGGAGCAGCCAGGACTTGAATTGGTGCTCCTATGGGATGCAGGCACTGCAGGCTGGGGCTTTAACCCACTGTGCCACAGTGCTGGTCCCTAGACATTTTTGGTGATATTAATTCTTCCAATCCATGAACATGGAAGATTTTTCCATTTTTTATATCTTCTATATCTTTCCTTAATGTTTTATAATACTCATTGTAGAGATCTTTCATGTCTTTGGTTAAAGTTATCCCAAAGTATTTAAATTTTGTTGTGCCTATTGTGAATGGGACTGACATACAAGTTATTTTTCAGCCATGGCATTGGCATTTAGTATATGTGAATGCTATCAATTTTTCTGTGTTAATTTTATATCCTGAAACTTTGCCAAATTCGAGTTCCAATAGTCTCTTATTGGAGTTTTTTGGTTCTTCTCTATATATGAGATATGTCATCTGCAAAGAGGGATATTTGACTTCCTCCTTTCCAATTTGTATCCCTGTGATTTCTTTTGCTTGCCTAGTGGCTCTGGCTAACACTTACAGAACTATATTGAACACTAATGGTGAGAGTGGGTATCCTTTTCTGGTTCTGTATCTTAGGGAAAATGCTTCCGGCTTTTTCCCATTCAATATGATGCTGGTTGTGGGTTTGTCATATATTGCCTTGATTGTGTTGAGCTATGTTTATTCTATACCCAATCTTTTAAAGTTTTTATAATGAAAGGATGTTGTATTTTATCAAATGCTTTCTCTGCATCTATTGAGATAATCATATGATTTTTTCTTCAGTTTGTTAATGAGATGTATTACATTTATTTATTTGAGAATGTTGATCTACCTTTGCATACCAGGGATAAATCTCACTTGGTTTAAGTGACTGGTCTTCCTGATATGTTGTTGGATCTTATAGGTAGTATTTTGTTGAGGATTTCTGCATCTATGTTCATCAGGGATATTGGTTTATAGTTCTCTTTCATTGTATCTTTTTCTGGTTTTGGCATTGAGATGATGGTGGCCTCGTAGAAGGAGTTTGGGAGGATTCCACTCCCCCTTTCAAATTTTTAATCATTTGAGAATAATTTGAATTAGTTCTTCTTTATAAGTCAGGTAGAATTCAACAGTGAATCCATCAGGTCCTGGGCTTTTCTTTGTTTGGATGGTCTTTATACTGGTTCAACTCAGTTTTGGTTATGGGCTGTTCATGTTTTTGTCTGGTTGATCTATCCATTGATGAAAATGGAGTGTTGAAGTCTGTTGAAGTCCCCCATTATTATATTGGAATGTATGTCTCCCTTCAGGTTCATTAACATTTGTTTTAAATAGCTAGAAGCCCTAGCTTTGGGTGCATATATATTTAGTATAGTCACTTCTTCCTATTGAATTGATCCCTTAATCATTATATACTGACATTCTTTTTCTCTTTAACCAATTTTTCCCTTAAAGTCTATTTTGTCTTAGATGAAGATAGCTAATCCTGCTGATTTTTGATTTCCATTTGGACGGAATATCTTTTTCCATCCTTTCACTTTCATTCTGTGTGTATCTTTGTTGCCTAGGTGTATTTTTATTGTTGTTGTTGACAGGCAGAGTTAGACAGTGAGAGAGAGAGAGAGAGACAGAAAGGTCTTCCTTTTCCGTTGGTTCACCCCCCCAAATGACCGCTACAGATGGCGCAATGCGGCAAGCGCACTGCACCGATCTGAAGCCAGGAGCCAGGTGCTTCATCCTGGTGTCCCATGTGGGTGCAGGGGCCCAAGCACTTGGGCCATCTTCCACTGCCTTCCCGGGCCACAGCAGAGAGCTGGCCTGGAAGAGGAGCAACCGGAACAGAATCTGGCGCCCCAACTGGGACTAGAACCCAGGGTGCTGGTGCCGCAGGCGGAGGATTAGCCAAGTGA